CGAATGGAGAAAGAGTGAAAGCTGTCGACTGGTTATACGGTGGCTTTTGTATGTATATATTTTTTGTTCTGTTTTTGATTTTTTCCGACGAATTAATTAATCAGCTTTGTGATATTTTTGTTTGAAGGTGTTGTCGTGTCCTACAAATTTATGCAATTAGGGAAAATGGTGTTAGACCTACGTTTGCATGAAGGTAAAAGCAAAATCAAATAAAGCACTTGAAAAAAGGATTGTTACCATATTTGCATATTCATTCTCATTCTTCATTGTATGTGTTTCAGAGATTGCGGCCAGGGAAGGAAAAGTTGTCATGTTTGATATGGAATTTGAACGTTTCGGAATGGTTACACTTACTCCGGTGTATTATGATGATCCAAAAATCTAGTCTTTTAGTCTCAAATCTCTTTCATTGTTTTATGTGTAGTGCCTTTGGTTATATTCAAATGTATGGAGAACTATAGAATCATGGCACATGATCAATAAAAAAATACTTGTTCTTGCGTTTGATTTTGAATTGAGACTAACAGGCCTGAGTACTAATGAGTAAAGATCAATCAACATTTTTTTTTATTTACACATTAAAAGTGAGTCTAATTGGGGAAGAAACCTGAGAGGATCAAGAAGAAAGAGACCCCAAACCATTGATTCGCTCTGAGAAATTTGTGTTGGAAAGGGTTTTTCTACTTTGTACAGAGAAACACTCGCTACTGGGTTTTAAGGAAACGGTTTACGACAATTAAAAGAGGAGACCGGTTTTATATCAAAACAAGAGTAAACCGAATTTATACCTTTGACTGTCTTCAAATGTATTGGGAACTATACAATCATGGTATAATTAATGATAAAACAAAAAACTCGTTCTGGCATTTCTTCTGATTGATTATGAATTTGAGTAATGATTTACACAAAAATGAATGATTCCAATTCATAAACAAACCAATCATCAGTTTCTGATTTACCAAATTTTTAGTAACGATGAGAGATTGATTACTAACACGAAGCAATCAAACGCGTTGAATTGGGACACCGTGAAAAAATAAAATTAATTTAATGGATAACAAGAAGAATTAGTGGGGTTTAAGAACCCGGTTTTGTTATATAAACCGTTTCAAATCGAACTTATATACTCCCATTAAGTTTTCTAAACTAAACCGGAGATTTCTTTGTTTATCTTGGTTTCATGTAATCTGAAGTATCTCCATCTGTGGTAAAGCAAAGCAAAGGTCGAAACCAAACTCTCCATTCTTGGAGCTGCAAAACCAGTAAGCTCTTTCACTTCTTCTTCTCAAAGTTTAATTTGGTGGGAAATTTATCCATTTACGTGTGTTATAATTTCGCTCAAGTTAACAATGTATTGATTTTTGTGTTATCTCCAAGCAATTTCTTCTCTGGGTCTGTGAGAGATGCAGTGATTGGGATTCAGTTATAATTTGGTGTAAAATTTTTGAGATTTCTTCATTGTGTGGTTTAAAGTTTCTTATTTTGGAGATTGAACGATCATGTTCCTGGGTTTTTGTGGTCAATATGTGTCGGTATAGTCGATACCCATAAGGTTTGTTAAATTGCCTGCGTGATAATTTTGGAGGTGGAATCAGTTTTTGATGATTTGGATGACCTGAAAAAGAGACTTAATCGAATCTTTTTCATTCTAAGTCACTGGAATTTTCAGTTTTGCAATTAGCCAGGCTAGTTTTTTTTTTTTTTGCTTTCTATCAGATCAACTTGTGCATTTACTTGCATATGTGTGTCTACAATTGGTTTTAGAGGATAAAGTTTGGTACTTTACCACTGTCTTCAACTAATGGTGTTTCTATTTAGTTTGCAGTTCTAGTTGCCTTCTTGTCTTATTCAAGAAAGGTTGCAGCATATGAATCTATGGCATATGCAACAGGAATGACGCTTGCTTCAAGGAGTATTTTTCCTCTTTGTTCAAGAGCCTTCTTATGTCCCATACGTGTGGCTTCTTTTCTCTGTTTTACTGACAAATCCTCATCCAGTTTCTTTAGAAGGGTCCAAGTTCATCACCTTTTCTCCGCTTCTACGACTTGTTTGTTCTCCTCTGTTAAGTCCTCAATTCAATCTACTTCGTCTCTTGAGACAGAAAATCAAGCTGTTTGTCGCCCTAACGTAGTCGATATACTGGAAGAAAGAGGACTCCTCGAGTCAGTCACCAGCGACAATCTCAGGTCTGCTTGTTCTGATCCTAATGTAGCTCCTCTAAAGGTCTACTGTGGGTTTGATCCAACGGCTGAGAGCTTACACTTGGGTAATCTACTTGGTATCATTGTGCTTTCTTGGTTCCAGAGATGTGGACATCAAGCCGTTGGTTTAATTGGTGGTGCCACTGGACGAGTTGGTGACCCATCTGGTAAAAGTTTAGAAAGACCTGAGCTTGACGCTGATACATTGGAGAAAAACATTTCCGGGATTAAAAACATCATTATCAAGATTCTGGGTCAGAACACTGGCGATCCAAGTTCCAGTAGCTCATATTTGATTCTGAATAACTATGACTGGTGGAAAGATGTGAAAATGCTCGACTTTCTGAAAGATGTCGGTAAGTTTGCTAGGGTTAGCACTATGATGGCTAAGGAGAGTGTGAAGAAAAGATTAGAGTCAGAACAAGGTATGAGCTACACGGAGTTCACATATCAGTTATTGCAAGGCTATGATTTTGTTCACCTGTTCAAGAACGAAGGGATCAATGTTCAGATAGGTGGGAGTGATCAGTGGGGTAATATAACAGCTGGAACCGAGTTAATCCGGAAGATTCTCCAAACCGAAGAAGCGGCTTACGGGCTAACGTTTCCTCTCCTGTTGAAAAATGACGGGACGAAATTCGGGAAATCGGAAGATGGAGCAATCTGGTTAGCTCCTTCGAAGTTGTCACCGTATAAATTCTATCAGTACTTCTTCTCAGTTCCAGACGTTGATGTGATACGCTTCTTAAAGACTCTAACTTTTCTGAGTTTGGATGAGATAAAGATCTTGGAAGATCAAATGAGCAAATCAGGGTATGTTCCTAATACGGCGCAAATCAAACTCGCTGAAGAAGTAACCCGATTTGTACATGGAGAAGAAGGATTGAAGGAGGCCATTAAAGCAACAGAAGCTCTAAGACCAGGAACCGAGACAAAGCTTGATTGGAACTTGATTGAGAGAATTGCAGAGGATATACCTTCTTGCTCACTTCCTATTCATCGAGTCTCGGGTTTTTCGATTGTGGATGTATCGGTTTCCGCGGGTTTGTTTGAGAGCAAATCTTCTGCGAGGAGAATGTTGAAGCAAGGTGGGATATATATGAACAATGAGAGAGTTGATGATGAGAACAAGAGAGTTGAAGAAGAAGATATAGTTGAAGGGAAAGGTCTTGTTCTCTCTGCAGGCAAGAAGAATAAAGTGGTCGTTAGAATTTCCTGAATTTGTTTTCTTTAGCAAAACGTACAATTTGATTGTTATGGTTTATGAATTTGTAATGGGGACGAGTAATTGGGTCCGAGTGTTTTAAGACCTATCGAACCATTTGGCTCAAGGAAGAGCCAAAGAAGCAGCCGAAAAATTAGAATTGACCCGATAAATTAATAAACGGTACGGTGAAAACAGTACGTGATGTTTTAAGAGAAACAAATTGTTTGAAATTATAATATATTTTTTTCTCTCAGTGCACCTCTATTCCTGTCATTATATTAAATGTTACTTGCTTTATTTGTCTTCAAAAGTAAATCATGAATCAATTAACAAATGGTATTTTAGATTTTGCACAGAAAATATCAAAGATTTAGTATTATTATGAATAAGAAAATGTTGATGTCAAAAATAGAAGAATGAATACGAAAATGATAAAGCAAGAGAGAAAATGGTTAAACCATTCTTTACTAAAAAGTGACCATTATTTGGTACTGATACAACAACAAAAAGTGAATCAAAAAGGAAAGTATTAAGTCTCGTTATTGGTAACACCTTTTTTTTTTTTTTTGGAACAACTTCTCTACAGCTCTACTAAACACCCAAACATCTCTTTTTGATTCATACACTTGGAAGGTCTCATCACAACTGTAATTACTGAAAAGAAACAGAAGTATCATGGAGGTAATTTACCTGAGCCCTGTTTCCTTCACTAGAAAGGCCTGACAAAGTCTCTACGTTCAACAAGAAACTCCAGAATATCAGCATGCCATAGTCCTTGGCGGTGTATGCTCCTGGTATCGATTAAATTCGATTTTTTTCGTGGAGCTTAACGGGTTTGACTGCTTCGTGTTAATATATTATATCTACTATTACTATGTGCTTGATGAATAGAATCAAAATCAAAAAAACTTTATCCGAAACTTGGACTAAACACCATGAAAGCTTATTGGAGAGTGCTTGCGTTCAATAGATGATTCCAGTAACTAAAGAACAAACAAGGTATCTTCTGGGGATTTCAAACCCAAGAAGAACATCTTCAAAAGTCCAGATCGATAGAATAATGGAGAAATATTCGATCGAGTTCTATGCTGTAGCAAGTAAATGACCATCTTCGGTTACCTTGGCTTCACATTCCATCTCTTTGACTGCCCGAATAAGTCCCTGCGTAATCGCGTTAAGGTGCAATCCCTTCTGCTTCATCTCCTCAAACAACATCTCAGCTTTTTCCCAATCCAATGCTTTGAGGCAGAACGACTGTATCAGCTTGTTGTACTCATCAGCATTCGGTTGGACGCCAAAATGTTCCATTTCATTCAAAAGTTTCAGTGCTTTGTCATATTCTTCAATCTTGCAGTAGCCTCGGATGAGTGCGTGATATGTGACAGGACTAAGCTTCTTATGTTTCTGTTTCGCTTCTGCTAGTATCTCTTGAGCTTCGTTCATCAACCCTCCTTTAGCATAACCGCTAATGATGACGGTGTATGTGTACACGTCTGGTTTCAATCCTCTACTCTCCATCAACTTTAAAACCTCTTTTGCTTCATCCAGATCTCCAGTTTTCGAACAAGCATGGACAATCAGATTGAAAACCGCATTCCCAGGAGCAGGCCCTTTAGAAATCATATCCAAAAGCAAAGCTTTAGCTTCTTTAACATTTCTCATCCTGCATAAACTATGGACAACATCAGAAAACGGTTTGATCCCATGTCGCCTAGCTTCTCCAGATAAATCACCCAATATCTCCTGAGTAAACGCTACAGTCACGTCATTCTCGCACAACGCACTTATCAGAGTAGCAACGGATCTAGGAGGCGGGAATTTCTCTTTCGTCTTTGCCAAATCATAAACCGAATAAGCCTCTTCAGCCTTGCCTTCTTTACAAAACCAAGTTATAATGTTACCAATCTGGTCTCCCTCTGGTAACACACCACTCTTAAGCATTTTCTCACACACAGAGCATGCCCATTCCATAAACGACCTCTTACAAAGCGCCTCCAATGTCAGATAATAAGTTTTCGCATTCGGAGTAAATCCAAACTCTTCGGTTTTACTAAACACATCAAAAGCAGCTTTGGATTTACCAAGCTTCCCAAACAAAGCTATCAATTCGTTCAGTATCTCCAAATTCAAAACATAACTATCCTTCTCACCAATCTCCTTAACCAAATCCCACAAAGCATAAGCATCCAATCTACGTGTATCACCAGAAATGGCTACAACAAGAGATTCTACAAGTGATGCAGTAACAGTAATCTCTTCTTTCTTAGTTGCCCACTTCAAAAACCTAATCAGATTCTTACCTGAAATTCCTGGGGACTCAAACACTCTTACCACAAGATCTAAGTGTAAATCGACATTGAGTGACTTCAAACCAAACTCCAAGGATTCTTCATCACTCCGTAACAAAGAGAGTACAGATTCTAACTTCTCGTCGTCAAATTGGTACACTTCAACAGCTTGAGAATCCACGACTTCTTCAACAGATCCATCACCAGAAGCTTCGATTGTAACAATCTCTGAATCTCCATCGTCACCAACACCAACAATGGCTTCTTCGGAAGCACCAAAATCGCTACTTTCAGGAAACCCCAGATCGGAAACACTCGATTCTTCATGGGTAAGCTCTGCGGATGACGAGATTGAGTTTTCATCAGTAGGGTTCGTTGAGAAGAACCTGAGGTTTCGCGCAGAAGCATTTCCAGACGACGACTCGAGGAAGGAGAATCTGGAAAGTGAGGTTAGCGATGGAGACTGAGTCTTCCTCTTCGTGATTCGACTGGCGAGATTGCGAGACGCATTTTGCGATCTACAGAAAACGGATCTCCACATTTCTGGTTTCTCTCAGTTTCTGATTCTAAACCCAAAACCCTATTATCTATCTCGATCTTGAGCATTAACGTAAATTGAGGAGGTAATTGGAAGGAATAAATAAAAGGAGGACTTTTGCTGCAAAAACAAAATTTAATTTGGTTTGATCGACTCTTTCGGATAAAATACCGGTTTAATAACTTTGGCCTCGAAACATAAATTGTATAAAACCAAACCAGGTGTTTATGTTCAATATTTCAAAAACCAACAAAATGAAGCCAAAATTTAACATTTGATATAGTTTAAGAAAATTATACATAATCGAGATTTTTTATGAACGCATAATCACCATAAGTTACCAATCTGAACCCCATGATGATATCAGTTTCATATATTATGGTT